AGAGAGAGAGAGAGAGAGAGAGAGAGAGAGAGAGAGAAAGAGAGAGAGAGAGATTGAGAGAAGCGAAGTGAAGAGAAGAGGTGGTTGCGCATGCCCGCTCAGTTCCCATATAGCTTAATAACTCACCCGAATCGGCTTCCACATGAATGTTTTCGCATCCGCTTTGCACGCTCAGGTGTTTATCGGCCGCGTGTATCGCGCTACGCATCAACAGCAGCTGCCGCCCATATGCATCTGCTGTACCGTTTCAATAATAAAATGCTGGCAAACAAACACGAAATGTATTAATTTTACTACAAAAGTATAGATATTTATGTGTTCTTTATCGACTAATAACTCTACGTAAATGTCGTGTATATGCTCATCTGCAACGCGCAATTTCACCGCACGCACGCCATTGTTGTGCACAAACTCACAGAAAGATAGAGAAAGAAGAGAGATTATCCATCTTTCTGTGAGTTTGTGCACAATGGCCTGTGTGCGGTGAAATATTCTATTGCAGAGCAGCGTGTGAGCTACATTTGCGGGAAAACTTTACAAATAATAGGCGAAATGAGAATAGATGAACATTAAGACTTTGGTATAGTAAAAACATTTTCTTGTTCATCCACCTTCATTTTATTATTGAAACCCTCCAAGTGTCGGTGGTTGCCGCCGTCATCGTTCACTCAGCGGCATTGCCGTGTAACGTAGTGTCCATCCCACAGGCACTTGGAACGTCTCAAGAGTAAAATGATGGCATATAAAGAAGACTCTTTATTCTTGTTGTGCACAGCGGCGTGCGTGCGGTAAACGTGTCTGTTGCAGAGGAGCATCTGAACGGCATTTATAGGAAATTATCGGCAATAAAAAGCGGAAGAGGGTAGGGAAACATTAAGACTTTGATAGTAAATACATTTCGTGTTTATTTACCATAATTTTACTCTTGAAACGTTTCCAAGTGCCTGTCGTGCATCCCATGTTGTAGAGCCCTAGCTAGCGGCAGTGCGATGTATCTGAGTCAATCCCACATTGTAGAACGCTTCTATGTATTGTATCGCATGTTACGGTTGCTAGCGGCAGTGCGGTGTATCTGAGTCAATCCCATATTGTAGAGCGCTTGTATATATTATATCAGGAGTCCACAAGAGAAAAGAGAAAAGAGAAAAGAGATTTTCTATTATGGACTCTTGATTATATCGCATGTTGTAGTTGCTAGAGGCAGTGCGATCAGGAGCCTGCAGTACGGTACGGAGCCTGCAGTACGGTACGGAGCCTGCAGTACGGTACGTATCCTGCAGTACGGTACGGAGCCTGCAGTACTGTACGGAGCCTGCAGTACTGTACGGATCCTGCAGTACGGTACGGATCCTGCAGTACGGTACGGAGCCTGCAGTACGGTACGGAGCCTGCAGTACGGTACGGATGAGCCACACGCTGTGTTATTGACTTCCCCGTTCACCGCACTGACTTTCATCGCGACTCGCCGGATTGCGCTGATTACAAACCCGACCTGACCCAGTTTCGACTTCGCAAATCACTTTCGATGAGATGAGAGCGCTATTCACTTTCGTACGGATCGGTGCCGACGTTAGGAAGCGATGCGCTGCGGGCCTATACCCTCTAATTCTTCTCCCGCCAAGCGAAAGACTATCGCCGTGCTGCTGTGTTTAAGCGCATGAGCCTGTGTGGCGGGGGTATTAGGGTTAGGCGGTGGCCGATGTCCCTCCCATTCAGGGTTACTCACCTGAATCGTGCTGTCTGGGATTGGCGTGGCTGTGGCTGTTGGCTGTTTCTTCGTCGAGGCTAAAAGAGAACGACGACGACGACGATGACGATGATGACTATGACGACGGCGATGATGACTATGACGACGGCGATGATGACTATGACGACGGCGATGATGACTATGATGACTATGACGATGACGATGATGACTATGACGACGATGACGATGATGACCATGACGACGGCGATGATGACTATGATGACTATGACGATGACGACGATAACTATGACGACGACGACGACGATGACTATAACGACGATGGCGATGATGACTATGGCGACGATGACGATGATGACTATGACGACGATGACGATGATGACCATGACGACGGCGATGATGACTATGATGACTATGACGACGACGATG